CGCATGATGAGTTTATATTATTGAATTTAATGCATTGAAAGCCTGATTACCTTTTAATTAATTTAGTGATTTATGCATGAATTTGAGAAAAAATTGTGTAAATTAGACTAATAATAATAATAATAATAATAATAATAATAATAATAATAATAATAATAATAATAATAATAATAATAATAATAATACAGTGTTTCTAAGACTGATTAAATTATTTCTGAAAAATGCCCAAGGATTAACCTTTGCAAGGGGAGCAAGGCAGTTGGTAGTGCAGCTAGCATTGGACACAACATCAAGCTCAGGCTTATATTCCTTCTCATTCACACCTACAACAAACATAGGAGCATCCTTGCTGGGAGCTGAGATGACAACTTTCTTAGCACCACCCTGATTATCATCAATTGAAAAACTTAGTCAACCCAAACTTGCATGCAATTCAAGCACATAAAGCTTTAATGTTGAATCCAACGTAAAGAGAGAAAAAAGCTATTTAGATTTAAGGTCAACTGAGCTACTGGGTATTCGCTTACTCAAAGCAGCATATTCTTTTTCAATTATAAAAGCATAACTAGATTCAAAAAACATCCATCAAATACCAAATCCTCCCAGAAGTAGTCTACATTCTATCCATGCATGCGTAAAAAAGTGTTCATAAAGAATAAATAAGACTGAAATTGAAACTGGGAATTGATAATTCATACATGCTAACAATTCAAAAGAAATACCTTCAAGTGAGCTGCGGCCTTCTCCTTGTCAGTGAAGACACCAGTTGACTCCACAATGAATTCAGCCCCAGTCTCCCCCCATGGGATCTCTTCTGGATTCCTACAGGTGCACAAATACAGTTCACTCATGGCTCTCATAATGACTTGATCTTAGTCTATCCCTAACTAATCCGTGGAAATGAATTAATAAAAACTTAAACTATAGATCAATATCAGAAACAGAAAAGACAGTAAATTTACCTAATTCCAAAAACAGCGACGGGCTTCTCACCAAAGAGAAGGGTCTTTTCATCCTTAACCTTGATTTCGCGGTGCTTCCACTGACCGTGGACACTGTCATACTTGAACATGTATGTCTACAAAATGGAAGAAAAAAAAAAAAAAGAGACAAAAGATAAAACCAAATAATTTTAAAATAAAAACAGTTAGATACTAACATAATCAACATAAAACTATATAACTCTAAAGATCAAAAAAAAAAAAAAAAGGGGAGGGGGGGGAAGATAAGAAAAACTTAGTACCATGTAGTCTGTGGAGATGAATGGATCGTTAACAGCAACGAGTTCAACATCATCTCTCTGAAGAGCGACTCTGGCCACCAACCTACCAATCCTGCCGAATCCTGTAAAGAAGATCAATCAGATCTCAAAATCAAAGACTAAATCGAACAAAAACTCAGATATTTAACGGATTGAAAAATCCAGTACCATTGATTCCGATTTTGACCTTGCCTGCAAATCGAAACACGAAGAAAAGAAGATCAGAGCGGATCGAAAAACTAAGAACAAAACGAATCCATATGCAATCCAAAGAAATAAACAAAAAGAAATTAAATTAAATTACACATGATCGTAGATGAAGAGACTGTTGAAGC